TCAGTTCCTGCTCTGGTTCTGAGCTTGAAGCACATCTTTTGCTTGAAGTCTTAGCTAATCAGGAGCAAAACGGATTAGAAGTACTTTTCACTCCATTAGCAGCATGGCGTTGTTATTCTTTGACATACGACAACATAAAAGTATAATAAATTGAAGCATTAGAGAATGAGCATATCTGAACCTTGGATCATACTGACGCTAAATCTTGGATGAAAAACACTGGAGAGAAAGCTTAAGGCGCTGCTGTAAATTCTTGGACACAACATCAAACACACATTGATCTGACAGAAATTATAATGATGATTCATGACGACGGAGGTTGGGGAGTCAAAGAAAATAATGAGAGTGAAATTAATGGTCTTTACAACTAATGAAATATATATTATGATAATATTGTGCTGAATTTAAAACAAAAATTTCTTGGATATGTCAATTGATGGCTTTTTAAAAAAATTAGCTAATGTGAAAGTAGAATCTATTTGAAAAGTTGCCTTTTTAAAGAATTTTTACCACTCCTTTCTGCATTTAGAGCCCTCTTTAGGCATTCCTTCTTCTATGCAATAAACACTGCAAACAACTGCCTCAAGAAGATTTACACATGAGATAATTAAAAACAGTGTAAAACACAAATACAAAAAAAAAATGCATTTAAAGTAAAAATAATTACATTCTGGATTTGTGTAGGGTTTACTCCTTAGCCTTTTCTTCTTCCGAAAATGTCCCACAAGGCAGTGAGTATGAATTTTTCCTCAGGGTTTACTCCCGAGGGTATTCTACTTCTGGAACTCCCTTGAAACTTTCAAACCATAAAAAAATCAGACTTCTAGAAGATGTGAGGAGCCTATGTAAGCTGAGCAGGCTCCCTGTTGCAGAACGTCACTCTCTGACTCATTGAAGGGGACACAGGAATGGCCATGGAGGGAGTGTGATACCTCACTTCTGTCTGGTTTCTTCCCCACATGATGTTAATCACATGGTTACAGGAACACCTGAAGGAGAGATAAAGTATTGGTGCACCCTATAGCCTTCCACAGTTGTGGGAAATCTCTAGACTTTCCATGAGGATAAAGCCTCCCAACCTGCTTCCACAAATGCGCTGCATATAGGAAACCGGTTTCTATATTCACAGAAGAAGATTCAATGGAAATTTCAGTAAGAAGCTCACCTGCTGTCGCTTTGCATTGTGAGCTTTTCAGGAATCAGTGTGAATGCAAAGCAAATAAGCTTGCTCTAACATACTTTCATTTCTTACCATTTAAGATTTACTTCTATCAGAACAATGGGAGATTAGCAGCCAGATTTCTAGATTCCAGTCCCTGGAACCAAACACTAAAGGCCTCTTTCACCAGAAGGATTTGAGCTCCTGCTGTTCACTTCCTGCAGTGGGAATGAGGGGAAACCCTTGCCGATCAGAAAATCGGAAACAGTTTTACAACCACAACCTGCACAGAATAGAGCAGATCACAAAGCTATGGTTTCGGCAATCCATAGACAGATTCTACTTTTGGTAGGGCTGTCATACATCCAGAATTTCTCAGACATTATTATTTATTACTTATTGAATTTATATACCACTCTATACCGCCCGCCCTGTGGAACGCCCTCCCATCAGATGTCAAAGCAATAAATAACTACCTGACATTTAGAAGGCATCTTAAGGCCTTCAGGGAAGCTTTTAATCTGTGATATTTTACTGTATTTTTTGTTTCTATGGAAGCCGCCCAGAGTGGCTGGGGAAACCCAGCCAGATGGGCGGGGTACAAATAATAAATTATTATTATTATTATTATTATTATTATTATTATTATTATACCTGGAGATCTCTGGGCGGTTCACAGTCTCAGGGCGGTTCACAGACATAGCTGGGATTCGGCCTTTGGAAACATTATCCAGGCGGGAAATTGCTTAAATTTGAAGGTATGGCAACCTATGTCAGAGGTGTACACTTTGGTGGATTCCCATAAAAATAGCTCAAAAACTTTCTTTTTTTTGAGATTTTGCAAAGAAAGCTCAAAAACGTTGGTCAAAACTTTTAAAAAGTTCAGCAACTTTTGTGTCTAGATCTTCACTTTTTGAAATATGGCACCCTAACTTTTGGAAACTTATGATACACAACAACTAGGCTGTACTGCAGCCTAGTGTAGCCCCCACTGGTTTACTTTGTCTCCTTTTAAAGAGATCTGCCTGGTGCAGGAATTGCCCCAGTGAGAAGTGAAGGCAAATTGTTCGCCTCGTGCATGCATATGGTCCTCAGTCTATAGATTCTGGTTATAGGAATAAACTCCATTTCCTTCTGGTGGCATCATCATCATAGTATCCCGCCAATCTGATTGGGTTGCCTCAGCTAATCTGGGCTGGAAATGAAAAGAAAATTTTAATTAATATTACCTCCAGCTTGGTCCTTAGATCAGCACCATACAAGTACAGTTGACTTTGTTGAAAACCAGGGTGACTAATTTGTGGCCTTACAGATGCAGGTGAACTCCAACTTTCATCAGCCCCAGCCAGCATGTCTACAAGAACTTCTTATAAGCACTAAGCAGAAAAATAATATTTCAGTAAGCACAGAGTAGGCAATTTTGGGAGGGGGGATCAGAAATGTCTCCCTCCCCCCCAAAAAAAACTGCCTACCTTTCTGTTTCCACCACCAGTTTTGCTGATTTCACATGTCAAAATTAGTCCCGTGTGTTGGCTGAATTTCAAGGCATGTGAAAGTCTGGTAAATGACCTGTGGGACAATTAGTACAGGAGCTAATTGAATTTACGTTTGTGGATTTCCCTGCCTAACTTGTTTTCCTTCATTCTGTTTCTTAAATGACAAAGGGTCCAAAATAATATTTTCTTCTTTAGGGAGGCGATCACACCTAAGAAACTGAACATCTGGAGACAGGAACAAAACAGGTAATGCCTTATTTATTTCTCACAAGTTATATGACAAGCTGTGTGTGTGTGTGTGTGTGTGTGTGTGCATTAAATTTAAAAGACATCTTAATTACACCGGAATTTTGCCCTGCAGAGAAGACAAAACATATCTTTCTGTTTAAGAAAAGGGGGGGGGGTGCTGACTGGTAAATAGATCTCATTCCACAGTCTGCAGACACAATTAAATAAATATTTGGGAAATCAGCCATGGGGCATGCAGAAAGTGTTTGCAATCTACAGCTTTTGCCCACAGATTTGAGTCTGCAGGTGAAAATAAATGTGTTTCGAATGAGAAAAATCCTTTAAAAGAAGGGCAAGGATAGAACAAGATAGAATAAAATCCTCTAGCACTTTGTGCAAATGTTGTGTCTCAAAGATGCAACCGAATATTCCAGGAAGAAAATGTGTAGCCTTCCGATGAGATCTAGCAAGTCGGGGCACAACAGATAAAGGAAATACTCCTTGCCAGCTCACCTACAAAAAAAGAAAAAAAGACTCGAGACACATTATATGGAGATAACGTTATATTTATTTAAATAGAGCATGGGGAATCTGCAAAAGAAATCTGAGAAATAAACCCAATCAAAATCCTGCTCCAGAGGGTAGGACCCAAACCAATGGATTCAAACACCACGTACATACAATCTGCTATATAAATAATAATACTATGTACTTAGATTCAAAGCACAGAGATAACGGGTAGCACAAATCTCAACACGATAATTTAATGGGAAAGCCTAGTACCTCTCTGGTTGAGCATACATCTTTCCTCTACTAAGAGCTGAGGGGCAAAACTATGCATTGCACACCCTTAGATATAATTGTAACCTGATGTCTCTTTCTGGAAAGGTAAAGCCACTTCTTGGGGAATCAATTATGAGAAGAGCAGGTTGTTTGTTTCTCTTTCTTTCCAGCAGCAGTTTCTCTAGACAAGACTGACACTGTTACGCGTCTCTTCCTACGGGGCTCCAAATGCAAGTTTGCAATGGGGGAAGCATCTGTTTGAATTGCAGATAAAGAAACCCACTTCATGGTGGTGATGTGGAGTGTTGAAACAGGGCAAGGAAAGTGTTAAGCACCCTTGCTGTCCACTGCCAATTACCCCCTTGAAAGCAATGTCTAGGTATGTTTGGCTTATGGCTGCCAACTTGAATAAAACCCCACATAATTGATCACAAGACACAGCACATACACACCATTTGACTAGCAATGCCCATCAACTTTGGGGCCCCCAGGGCCGATCAAATATATATTGGGTGCCAAATGGACATCAGCCCCTAGGGGCTGGCTTCTATGGTTTGGTTCATCTTGCCCTTGTGTAATTCCACACAACTGGGGAAGACATGAGACTTTTTTTAAAAAAAGTGGACAGAGCCAATAACTTGGGTCTTTCCCATGTTATTCAGCCCCCTTCCACACATCATGTTTCTGCCGGATGAGAAAGACCCTTGCAGTTACTCTCACGTATGGAATTACCGGTATATTATTCACACAAACTCCCCAAGGATGTGGGATCACCCTGGGACAGAGTTTTCCAGGATACACTGAGACTACGCACAGCTCAGTAAGCAGTATCTTTCCATTTTAAGCAGCTGCACTCACATGGTCAAGCACCCCTGGTCAAACACTTACCTCCTTTCTAATGGTGACACGCCTCCTGGCCCAATGTTTCCAGCAATAGTTTTGAAATGACCAGCATAAGTCTTGAATTGAACTGAAGCTGCCAGGCACTAACATCTGCCAAACATCTGCCATTTCCAAAGTTCAGCTTCTTCATTACTAGGCATCAGCATCCATCTATGAGAAACTGTGTAAGTCAATGAAAAACTAGGTTTTGATAAGATAATGGGTGGTATGCCACTAGCTTTTACTCATAGTAGACCCATTGAAATCAACAACATTAGGTCCATTGATGTAAATACTTTCTGCAGAAACTTAGCTGAATACCACCCAATGTATTCTCATTCCAGGAAGGTGGACTGAGACAGACCACTGAAATCAAATTGTTCAGAAAAATATATGTGCTGTGGTCACAGTTAGGTTGGTGGCCATTACTACATCTCGTGGGAGCAGATCCTGCTGGGATAGTTCAGTTGGTAGAACATGAGACTCTTAATCTCAGGGTTGTGGGTTCAAGTCCCACATTGGGCAAAAGATTCCTGCATTGCAGAGGGTTGGACTAGATGACCCTCCTGGTCCCTTCCAACTCTATCATTCTATGATTCCATAGTTTAACTATGTGCAGCGTGAGGAATCACTTCCTGTTTTCTGTCTTGAAACTTCTAATATCAGCTTCATTGGATTACCCTGTATTCTAGTAGTATTATGTGAGTGGGAAGTAATTACACTACAAACTCGTAGCAGTCTTATTTGACTGTAACTGTCATGGCTTCCCCCCAAACGATCCTGGGAATTGTAGTTTCATGAGGGTTCTGCGATCCCTAGCTCCTCTTCCCAATGCTCCGACTCAGTGGGTTCCTGGGATAGAATGAGTGGCTGTTAAACAATTTCAAGTCAGGGTAGATAGATGCAATGTAGCTGCTGTCTCCTCTATAACTGTTTTTCTTACAAACTATCTGTACATCACCACAGCAGATTGTCTTTAAATGAATGAATCATGACATGATCCCAGCTACTTAGCTACATCTGTTATGCAGTAAATTGCCCTGCACACTATATGCATAATAAAGAGGCAGAAGAGGGTATTTGTTCCTAATGCAGGCCTCATTATGTGATGGTACACGAGTAGTAAGGACAGATGGATCGGCTGCAATACCATAAAATTTAGAAATAAAACTTGTTTATATTTGCCAGGAAAGGAATGCAATCAATCAAGTTTTGTGAGAAAATGAGGTCTTCTATATCCTGCTATATAACTCCCTAGCAGGTTAAAAAACAATGCTTATATAGCACAAATAATTAAGGTGATTCCTTATGGGTGATATTCCCAACTAAAAGTTGGCTTCCAATACTTTTAAAGAAGCCTGTATTTAAAAAACAGGCTTTTAGTAGCTACGACGGCTTTAGGTAGTTGAAAATATTGAGTGCCACTGTCATTTTCAGAGGCACTGCTTCCTGTTCTAATATTATTTGGGCAGGTAGAAAAGTGAGCACAGATTAAAAGTAAAGAGAGGTGAAAACATTGAAGCATAAGGAAATAGGAGCCTGAATATAAGTTTCTATAAAGCACAGGCTGTGCGCACACTAAACATGTAAAACACATTTTCCTCCCCACCAAAGAAGTCTAGGAACCATATACTCCTCACTGAGTTACAATTCCCAGCAACATTAACAAACTACAGTTCCCAGGAATCACAGGGTGTGGCTGTGGGTGCTTTAAATATATTGTGTGTATGCAGCTGCACAAGAAAAAAGCAGTTTTAACACACACACTGAAGCCGGTGTCTTAATGGCCTACTAAACAGTGAGGCAAAAGAGTGTGGATGTCATTAGGATCACAGAGTTTTTGAAACATCAAATAAATTTATTTTAAAGCAAATGGGATTATTTCAGGCATTTCTAAAGACCTTGCTTAAATGCTCCAAGCAATGGAGATGTATATTTTCTTTGTTTCCTTTAAGGTATATCACACAATTCTACTGAAAAGGTCTAGGACTAGGGTTGCCATACGTAGTCGGAAATCGCCAGAATGTTGAGGAAAATCTGTACGTATGGCAACCCATGTCAGAAGTAAGCAAACTTTGGGCAAAGCCAAAAACAGCTCAACAACTTTGGCAAAATAAAAAATAAAAAATAACATGTGCTTGGTGGATTGGGCCCCTAACTTGCTGAGAGGAGGTTTAACCCAAAAGGTGCTTAAAGAAGGTCCTGTTGTTTTCCGTGATTCTTCTTCACAGCAAGATCTGCTCATTTATAATTGTTTGCAGTTTTAAAAGAAAAGGTTTCTTGAAGGAAAAAGGCAGAGTAAAAATGCAAGAGGCTGACACTGGGGTTGATGGATAGGAAAAGGAAATCGCTGTTTTAAAAAGCAATGCTCAGATATTAGGGGCGGGGGAGAGAATAAGCTGCATTACAAAAATCCGGTATACACAGATGACTCTATCTGAACTACTACAGTATCATCAAGTGTCTTTATGTGTACCTTAGCAACTGCCTTTTCTTGCAGCTGGGAGTCTAGCCCTGGACACCTCAGGGCACAATCCAACAACTGCTATTAGATTACCATTGACTGCTTGAGAGAGCGAGAAGAATGCACTGGCAACTTTAAAACTTGAAATTCTAGTAAGGATAACCCTGCCCTTCTCTATGCATTGCCGGTGGACAGAGGCCTTGTGTGTGGCCACTAAGATGATAAAATGAAGAGCTGGAAAGTGGTTCTCCAGCTCATACAGGCCAGTCTAGGGACATTATTTAAGGCTGGATGTCCCATTTCCCTCATGCTGAACACAGATGGGGAAACTAAATCGAGGCCAGCTCCCTCCTGTGGAAAAGCCAGCACAGGTTAAAGAAGAGAACAGTAAGGGTAAAGTATTAGGGAGAAATAAAGGAAGCTGCCTTATACCAAGCCAGACTATTAGGACATAAAGCTCAGTTTTGTCTACACTAGCCGTGTCTCTCTGGGGTTTCAGACACGGACTTTCCCAGCCCTACCTGCCAAGGACTGAATGCACACCCTCCAACACGTTGAAGCCCCAAACCAGGACATGCGTCTTTCCATCTGTGCTCCCACACGAGTCACATGACCCATGTGAGATCGTGGACCCTCAAAGATGTGCTTTGGGAGGGTCATAATCTCACAGCACCCAAAAATGTGTGTTTTGGGGCACCACGTGAGATCATGGCCCCCAAAAAATGTTTTTTGGGGGGCAATATCTCAGTGTGAAATTTCTTGATATTACTTTGCTCAAAATGGCCTCCGTGCTCTTGCAGGGAAAACCTGGTTTTTCTGGGACACTTGTGGAGTATTGCGGATGTGGGGTCTTTTCCATGGAAAACATGTTTTCTACCACTGAGCTATGGGCCTTCCTGTAAATATGTGTATCCTGAAATATCACTTGGAGGGCAAAGGGGTCTTCTTAAGACTAGAAGTTCAGGGCTACTTGGCTTGGGGAATCAGGAATCTAAAAGCCCTTGTGGTCTGTTCAGCTTACCTACCCCAAACTAATCTGCTCATGCGAGTGATATGATTTCTGTTTCTTTATACATTATTGAATATAAAGTGGGAGCAATTCTCCAAACTTCTCCAGGGCATGGAGCCTGTGTAGGATCAATCAAAGTTGGGAATAAGGTAGATGGAAACTTTGCCTTTACAGTCACAATTCAAGTGGTGCCAGTACTTGAAGTAAATAATGGTACTGCAATCCCCAGAGTTCCCTATGAAGAGGGAACTTTGGGAATTGTAGCACTCTGGGAATTGTAGTACTGGGAGGGAAATAAGGGTCACCTCACAACTCTCAGCACCCTTAATGAAATACAACTCCCAGTATTATTTTGAGAGAAGCCATGACTGTTTAAAGTGGTATGATAGGGCTTTAAGTGTATAGTGAAGCAGCCGGTCTTACTTAAAAGCTGTTTCAATGTGCAAATATTATGATGGAAATAAAATGTGTCTGCAAGAGATGAAGCTGAAGTATCTCTCTAAGACCTGCTCGCAAGGCTACCATACTGTTAAGTATTCCTATAGGTGTTCTGAGCAAATAATCGCAGCACTTAGCCATTTTTGAGACCCACGGCACGCACAAATGTTGTATGCAACAGAAGCTCAGGGTCACCGGGAGCAAGAGAATGCTGAAGGGTAGTTCAAAATAAATGTTTAAGATCTGTCCTTGATCTGCCAAGCAGTATTCCTGCTGTTCCCAGCTTGTTTTTTTATATACTTTTGCCTTTCATCGGAAATGAAACTAATTTAAATAAAAGGATATGTTTTGCCCTTACTATACAGAAAACACAATAACCATAGGTTCCAGTGCCCCCATTAGGCTATACTGAGTGATAAGCCAGAACTTATTGTGCTGTTTTACAAGTGAACAGTTCTTATGTCTTTAAAAGGACAGCTGAATGGAAAATCCTTATTTTTACACCGTAATGATCTATCTCAACCCTTTCTGAGGCATTTAAGCAAATGTTTCAAGATTCTTCACACCTCTCCATCAGTATCACTAGCACTCAAGCCATTCCTGATTTCTTTTTAAAAACCCTGTCTCTTTTTTAAAAATATGTTCTAACTTAGGGATGGGGAGCCTGTGATTCTGCAGATGTTGTTTGACTAAAACCTACATCATCCCTGACCATCACTGGAGAACCACATGTTTCTCACCATTGAACTTTCTTCTACACACACATATAAACTCCATTTCCTCTGTTATCTTTGCTATTCTCAAAATTTAGACTTAAAGCTTCACAGGGATTGGGAACATTTTTTCCTCCCCCCCCTTTTTTTTGCAACTCTGTAAAGCACATTTATTGTGCTGTGGTAATTTTCAGCAGCAGGACTGCCTCAGAAGAGAGTTAAGAATTACAGCTGGAATGTAATCTACAAATACCTTTGATTAGAATGCTTCCATCCATGTCAGCTGACTTGATCCCACTGATTTTAGTCGGAACAAGCTCGTATAAGTGCAAGTAATTTATCCTAATGGTTTGTAGATGCTGTTAGCTCTGTAAAAAGGGGGGGAGAGGGAGAAATGGTTTTGGATTATGTAAGTATGGACTGGGTCATGCCAATCCACAGCTGTGTACGCTTGAATGCATTGCGTAGAGCTCCTGAAGCATATACTATAACTATTCACTTCAGTAGAGAAAGTGACCCCATGTACATTTGAGCCCCAGCACCTCCAAAAGACAAAATTTGCTGTCTCCTCCACCCCACATTTAAACAAAAAACAATGGAAAGGCTGCTTCTGGGAAGCACACCATCATAGGAATACAGTGGTACCTCGGGTTACATACGCTTCAGGTTACATACACTTCAGGTTACACACTCCGCTAACCCAGAAATAATGCTTCAGGTTAAGAACTTTGCTTCAGGATAAGAACAGAAATCGTGTTCCAGCGGTGTGGCGGCAGCAGGAGGCCCTATTAGCTAAAGTGGTGCTTCAGATTAAGAACAGTTTCAGGTTAAGAATGGACCTCTGGAATGAATTAAGTACTTAACCTGAGGTACCACTGTAGTTGGAGAGAGGTTGCTTGCC